GATGATGGATGGATGAATAATGGATGGATGATTGATGGATGGATGATTGATGGATGGATGATGGATGGGTTCACCTCAGTCAACAGAATGCTTTTCATCAGGTCAGTTTTTAAGTAAACCATGTTAGGCTCCGCCTCCTGATATGACGCCGTCTGTTTGTTGGCCTACAGCCAAAGAGATGAACCCTAGCGTTGCCGCCATCTTGGCGCTCGCTGCCCTCAGTGTTCTGCTCATCAGCCTGCTGGTTCTGCTGCTGCTGGTTCTCCGCAAGAAGCACCTGCAGATGACCAGGTACCACCATACCACAACACACTACACAACTTCAGTGCTGTGGACTAGAAGCACAACTCGTGTTCTTTTGTTCATAGTTTTAGTTGAAAGAGTTGTATTTGTTGTGAATATTTTCCTTTGATGTTTCTTTGATCTTGTGTTCGTTGGATGTCTCACACTTTGCTCAGATGTTTGTGAACGTCCCTCACTGGGAGCGCTTCTCACCACCTTCCTCTTGTGTTCTTCAGGGAGTGCGGCGCCGAGACGTTCGTCAACTTCGCCTCGTTCGAGCGCGACGGGAAGCTGCCCTACAACTGGTACGCTCCTCTTCCTCACTTCACGATGGCAGCGCGCCGCCGCTCTGAGCTTTGTGTGTTTGTGGCGCCGACGCCTCGTCAGGATTACACATTACAGATTACCAAGGCTGATGATGATGTCGGTGATGAAGATGAGCTCAGAGTAACGAACGCAGCGTTACTTTTTACACACACGTGTTTACTTTCTCAATGAAGGGAGTGACACTCGGCCGTCATTTATTCTTCACAATCAAAGCTTCGGATGAAAGTCGTCTCCATGACGACACGGTGGCTGAAGGAGCCGGTTCTGACGTGCATGTTCTCTTCGTCCCGACCTTTTGGGATTAATATGAGAGCTGAAAGACGGTCAGTTGAGGCAGACTCCGCCCCCACCATCACTAAAACACATGTCCATCAGCGTGGCGTCTTCGTGTGACTTCCTGCTTTCACTGTGCTTGTGGCAGATGATGATGATGACCCACTGATGAAGGACGTCTGTGAACTCTTTGATCTAAAGCCTGAAACAAAGAAACCTTCAAACCGCTCTTCATCACCAAGTACGGCAAGAGAATCCAACCAGGAAGAACAAGAGGAAGGTGTGACCTCACTTCCTATTGTGCATCAGGAAGGTATGACCTCACTTCCTGTTTTTGCACCAGGAAGGTGTGACTTCACTTCCTGTTGTGCACCAGGAAGGTGTGACCTCACTTCCTGTTGTGCATCAGGAAGGTATGACCTGACTTCCTGTTGTGCATCGGGAAGGTACGACCTCACTTCCTGTTTTTGCACCAGGAAGGTGTGACCTCACTTCCTGTTGTGCATCAGGAAGGTGTGACCTCACTTCCTGTTGTGCATCAGGAAGGTGTGACCTCACTTCCTGTTGTGCATCAGTGGGAAGTCCTTTTCCTGGTTCAGGATGAAATCCTGCTGGTCCAGTCTTTTTCAGGTTCTAGACTGGTCTTGGCCTACATTCACTCTGCCGGCCAGTGTGCCCCAGAACGATCGTTGTCTTCTTGACCGTCGTAACATGACAGGTCCGATTGTTTGTTCGAACCTGACCCAGCTCTTTCATGGGTGGTACTGGATCCGGTCCATATGGGATGTTTTTCAAAGGGACCTCAGTCTGAACGCTCAGGTCTCATTTAGTCCGACATGTTGTGAGGTGGAGGAGCAGATCCATCAAATATTAATGACTCCTCGTGACCTCGTCCAGTTCCTTCATCTTTGTTCTTTTACCTTCTCGTGTCCTGGAAGGCAGAGAATCTACAGCAGACACGAACCGTGTCGGACCGGATCCACGATGGACTCGAAACAAAATGCAAAACACACAAAGAATAAAATTAATCATTATTAAACCAGAGACTGACGGCTCAGAGCAGGAGGCTCAGAGCAGGAGGTCTCAGAGGAGGAGGCTCAGAGGAGGAGGTCTCAGAGGAGGAGGCTCAGAGGAGGAGGTCTCAGAGGAGGAGGCTCAGAGCAGGAGGCTAGGAGCAGGAGTCTTCAACAACATCAGCACAGATGTTCTGGTGAAGCGTTGGTGAACTCTGATCACTGATGCAAATGTCTCGGCAGCATCACAGTCATGAAGAGTTGTGAAGTCACAATGATCAGCAGC